GCGCTGTTCTCTGAGGTGAGGACAGCTGGAGGGAGTGGAGAGCACCAGGCTTGGTGAGTGGGGAAGGTCCTGGAGAAGGCGCCTGCAGTCCGAAGCGTGACGTGGTAGCAGTGTCGAGATAGCCTGCAGTAATCCTTCTGTGTTTAAAATTTTTCACAGAGAGTGGTCAGTATGAGTCAGTTTAAAGACAGGCAGGGGGAGGTTCCTGGTGATGGCTGAGAACGAAGGTCAAACTTCCCTCTGGACTTACTTGATGCACAGTGTTACGAGTGTAGAGATCCAGGACTGGATACACACCGCCGTTTAGCTGGACCTTCCGTCTTGTGGACTCAGCTACCACCTCCCTTTATGGTTAAAAATGTTCTGCCTGTCTTCAGCAGTTTGTTTGAAGTGTCTAGTTGAGGATGCCCATCCCCTTTGGAAATGGCCAGCTGGGGTCCAGTGTCAGACAGCTTCTGAGTCCAGGTGAGACTTAAGGTGCAGCCCTGATGTGTGTGTGCCTGGCCCAGGACTGGGGAGAGGAAACGAAGGTTCTTAGAATTCACTCATTTTTAAGTTGAGATGCAATTCTCGTGTCATCATTCACCCCTTTTCAGAGTATGGTTAGGTGATTTTTGGTATGTTCGAAATGTAGTGTAGCTAACACCACTGCCTGGCTCCAGACCATAAACCCCAGCCATTCCCCGCATTCCCATTCCCTTCTCCCCGGGAACTACCAATCTACTTTCTGTCTCCATGGGTTTGCCTATTTTGGGCCTTTTATTTAACATAATTCTGTTCATATAGACAGAATAATAAAATGCGAGTTTTCAGGTCTGGTTTAATTTAGCATAAAGCTTTCAAGGCTTATCCATGATGTAGCTTACATCAGTATCTCATTTCTTTTAACGGCTGTATAATATTTCATTTTATGGATATACCATATTGTGTTTATCCATTCATCAGGATTCATCATTTAAAATAATGATTGTTTTTGGGTTATTTCTACTTTTTGCCTGTTATGAATAATGCTTCTGTGAACATATGTGTACTGGTTTTTGTGTGCCTATATGTTTTGTTTCTCTTGGATATTTGCCTGGGAGTGAAAGTGATAATTCTACCTTTAACTTTTTGAGAAACTGCCAGCTGTTCTTCTGAGTGTGCCATTGTACATACCCAAGCAGAGCAGGAGGGCTCTAGTTTCTCCAGTTCCTCACTAACACTTGTTATTGTCTGCCTTTTTTATTTTAGCTTTCCTAGTGTCAGGAAGCTGTCTCTGTGGTTTTGATGTTCCATTCCCAAATGACTAGTGATGTTGAAAGCTTCCCCTGTGTTTCTTGGCCACTTCTGTTCTTTGGGAAATGACTTGAGCTGTAACCAAACCCCAGATTCACTCTTGGGATAGTACTGATATGTACAGTTACGCTAACTGCTTTGGACTCAGAATTGGCAGTCGGAGTTTCATGAATATGTGAGAAAGACACATAGAAGCTTTACTATGTAAAAACATTGAAGCATTTTTTTTAAAAAAATTGTATAATTTAGAATTTTCTTAGTTTTGTGTATGGTGAAAAACATATCCAAATATATTTGGCAGTTCAGTAGAATTTGTTAATAATATGACCTTACATTTTTATAGCTCAGTTTTGTTTTCAAATTACTCTTGTGCATATCATGTCGTATAATCCTAATAACACCATTGTGAGATACGATGGACAAATGTTATCTTCATTTTTAAGAACTAGAAGCTGAGTCTTGGTTTGTGATTTGCTTGAGGTCGCATAACTAGTAAGATTAAAATTTAAGACTTCTGATTTCCATTGTTTTGTGATAGTGAATTATTAGTCAAGTTTACATTTGGGGGAGGGTGAGCCTATATTGCTATGAGTAATCTGCCCAAGACATGTGGTCATGGCCAAGTCCCAAAAGATGATTGTGTAGCTCAGTTCATTATTTAGATGGCTGTTCAACAGGATGAATTGTTTTTTCATTTAGCTCCTTTTGCTGGAAAATCCTTACAATAAAAGAGCAGAATTATGTGCCAGCGTGGCGGCTCACGCCTGTAATCCCTGCACTCGGGAGGCTGAGGCGGGAGGATCACTATGAGTTTGAGACCAGCCTGGACTACATAGTGAGTTCCAGGTCAGTCGCAACTACATAGTTGAATTGGGACAGTTAAAAATAAGAGTCTAGGCTGGGCATGGGTGCGCACTTGTAATTCCAGAACTTTTGGTGGCTGAGGCAGGAGAATCAAAAGTTCCAGCCCAACATGGGCAATTTAGTGAGACCTTATCTAAAATAAAATAAAATAAAATAAAATAAAATAAAATAAAATAAAATAAAATAAAATAAAATAAAAATAAACCCCAGAATTATGTAACCCTGCATATTCGTTACATTTTGAGTGCAAGATATATGTGCAAAGACAGAATAAAGGTGAAGAGTAGATTCGGAACCATACAGAGAGGACTGGCAGCCCTTCATCCAATGACCTTGACCCTACAGGGCCTCCTGTTCCCTGCTTGTGTCCCTAAATTGATCTCCTTGAGAAACTGGAGCTTAAATGTAAAGTGAGTGCAGACAAAGTAAGCTGTCTTGCCGATATTTCTATAGATCTATGATAAATTTACTAAGCTTGCTTAAGTTATATAACTTATAGTTTGAGAATTTTGCCAGGCACCCACCTGTAATCCCAGAACTCAGGAGGCTGAGGCTGGAAGATTACCTCCAAGTTCAGGCCAGCCTGGGATACTAGTGAGTCCAGCACCAGCCTGAATTACATAGCAAGACCCTCCTCTTTTGGAGAATTTAGAAGATGTATAGTATCTTGATGAAGAACTGTTATATCATATATATATTCTAATTTAAAATTACACACCCAGGTCCGGGGATTTAGCTCAGCGGTTTGGCGGCCTGCCTCACAAGTGCGAGGACCTGAGTTCGATCCCCAGTACCACAAAAAAACAAACAAACAAAAAACCAAAAACAAAATAAAATTACACACCCTCAGTGGTTACTCAGGAGACTGAGGCAGGAGGATCCCTTGAGCAGGGCTTCTGAGTCAGGACACCTGCACACATAGAGGAGCCTAGCAGTGTGGATAGCTTTGAAATGCTCACCTCTCTGAAAACTAGGTCACAGTGTCCTCCTCCATATGATGTCCCCTGAGCCCAAACCAGCACCAGAGCATATTTTATCAGGAAATTCTGTCCCACAGAAGTGTTTGAAATAGTGTGCTTTTGTTGGAGAAGATACAACTTATTAATGCTTGTGTTTGTTTTCAAAAAGTTTTAAATGTATGTGTACTGATTGCACTTTATTTTTAGTGTGTTGAGTAGCACCAAATAACGCTAATAGTCATTCTCGTGGCTGGACATGATCAAAATTACCTGGGCGGCCATGTGTTCAGTCCCTGACCTTGAAAAGAGAAAATAAAAAGGACAAGGAAGGAGCTGCCGATGAAGGATGACGTCAGTTATTTCCTAGCGGGAGGCGATTCTGGCTGGAGGTGTGGGCTGCGGAACTGAGCTCTGCAGTGAGATGCTCAGTAGCAGAGGTGGAGACCAGAGCAGAGGTGTGAGCGAGGGGCTGGGGAGTTTCCTCGATCATCCGGGTCTGGGAGATGGTGAGACTGTTCCGTAAGAGAGGCCGCAGCTCCACCCCCACGCGGAGGTTGTCAGTGTGGGTTCTCAGGACCGCCCTGCCCTTTTCTACCCCTGTGCAGCATATCCTTTGCCTTGCTTTTCCATTCTTCATGTAAAAGAAATTTCTAGACACGGTTTCTGTTTCAGTTCACATATTTTATAACTTATGCTGCATATTATCTTATTGAATCCTTCATTCCCATGAAGTAGGTACCATCATTGTCTCCATTTTAGGGACAGAGAAACTGAGGCTGAGAGGTTAAAGAATTTTTTCAGGGTCATAATCAAGATTTGGATCCGTTTCTGTCACCTGCAAGCTGTGTGTATTTGGCTGTAAGCCGGCATGGTTTCTCGGCTTCCATTAATTGTTCATCTTGTTGCTTCTGTGGAAGCCCCACCTACTCACCTACTGGAGCTACAGTACCCGGAGGGTGCGCAGTGGCCTGGGGGTGCCTGGGCCGTCTGGCTGCCTGCCGCGGAACAGGGCCAGGAGATTGGGGTGCTGTGCACTGCCACTCCCTCGGCAGGGTCACTAGAGAGGACCAAGACAGTCTCCGTCCTGAACTAGAGTCCGGGATCTCCGCCCCGGGGGCTGTCAGCATGGCTTTGTGGGCAGCATCTGGCTGCTCACTTCTGCCTGAGCCAGCTTCCTGCTTCCTGCCCAGCGAGGGCACAGTTGCCACCCTGCTGTGCTCTTGGCAGCTCCTCCACCAGAAGTAGTCTTAGTTCTTTAATTTTTAAAAATTTTTTAAATTTATTTTATTTATTTTTTTTTTTTTTTTGAGACAGGTTCTCACTATGTATTTGAGACTGAGCTAGAACTCACTTTGTAGCCCAGACTGGTGTCGAACTCGCAGTGATCCTCCTGCTTCGGCCTCCTGAATGCTGGGATTACAGGCCTGTGCCACCACACCTTAGTTCTTTTAGAGATCTCAAAAGCTGGCTTCTTTTTCCCTTTGGAATATGATAATTTGGAAACATTTTCATGAGATACAGGCCCTGAGGCAGTTCCGAAAAAAATTACAGATTTAAGTTTTTTTCTTTTTTCTTTTTGGTACCGGCGATTGAACTCGGGCCCCTGTGCTTGCAAGGCAGGCCACCGAACCGCTGAGCTAAATCCCTGGCCCTAAGTTTTTTTCTTTTTAAAAATTAAAAGTTAAAAAAAATTTTTTTACTTTGAAGTACCCCTATTATGCCAACCAACTGCAAGTAGAGACTGCAGATAACTGCACATATTTATAGGGCACTGTGAGATGTTTCAGTATGTGTATCAGTGAGCAGCGATCGGATCATGGTAGCTGGCGTCCGGCAGAATAAACATCTATCGTGTCTTTCTCGGGAGCATTTGTTTTCCCTATGAGTTGTTTTGAATCATAAAATCAATTGCTGTGAAGCATAGTTGTCCTACTGTGGTACAGAACATTGGAAGCTCTTCCTTCTGTCCCGTACACCCCCAGCTGTTGACCATCTCCCCATCCTACTCTGGTCCCGTGCTTCCAGTCTTGCTAACCACTGTTCAGCTTTCTGCTTCTATAAGGTCAACTTTTTACACCTTGTACAATAGCAGCAAGATCATGCAGTATTTCTCTTTCTCTGCCTGCATATTTTATTTAACGGTGTTCCATAGGCTCATCCACATTGCCACAAATGGTTTCATCTTCATGGCTTCATAATATTCCACTGTGTTTGTATGATCCCATGTCTTAGCTATCTTTAACAGTGCTGCAATAATTAGGGAATGCAGGTATCTCTTCAACATACCAATTTCCTTTCCTTTGGACTCATACTCAGTGGTGGGATTGCTGAATTGTATGATAGGTCTATTTCTGGTTTTTTGAGGTCCTTCTGTACTGTTTTCCGCTCGGGCTGTACTAGTGAGCATTCCCAA